TTTTTTTTTTGTTACCTTTAAATACGGGACCACTTAGCTTGGCATCACTAATGAACCTTGGGAAGCCCAGCAGCATATGGCCCCGAAAAGGAGGGCTTGACGTGAACACAACCAAGGAGGCTGCTGAGGGTGCTTGTTGCTTCCTAACAAAAATAATCTTCTGCAGTCAGATCTTTTGTTGGTGTGGTTTTTGACACCTGTAACATCACTGGAAAACGTCTGCAAAATGTAGATAGTGCAGAAAGTTAAGGCAGTTTGCTGGCTTATTATCACACCACAAAACCAGCTCTCCTCCACAGCAGCATCCTTGATTTCTAAATTTAGTGCATGAGTTATTTTGGGTAGTGTGTGATTAACCTCAATTACTGTAGCTCAGATGGAATTCAAATAATGCCCTGTCTTTCAGAGTTGCAAAGAAATGGAAATCTGGGACTGCACATTTCCTACCCTTAATGAAGCAGCTCTGAGAGATGTTTGCACATCAGTGGAGGTCACTTGTGTGACGCATTTGTTTATGGAGAAACTAATGCGGGCAGCTGATCCCAAAAGGTGCTGGTGGTCCGTTGCTCTGTACTGGTTTTGAGATCAGGAATTTAAAAACAAAGGCAGCAGGTTATGAGATGCAGCTGGTGTGAAGGAAACCTGGGTGGCCACAGCAGAGATCGCTGCAGCTTCAGTGGATTTGGATCACGATCAGGACACATTGTAGTTTTCCAGTTTGAATTAAATCAGTAACAGAGGCTTTCAAAAGCTAATCGAAAATATACTTTCCCTCAATCTCAGCCACAATGAATGTCAGCTCTCTGGAAAATCATCAGTGGTGAAGCAATGTGCAAATACACACCTGCATGGGTGCAGATCCGCAGCAGTGTGTGTGAGAGAGGGCAGATGCAGGATACGGGGGCAGGCAGCCGAGAAGATGCCGTGCAAAGCGGCGGGTCTGGGGGAAGCAGTGTATTTCAGCCCACCCAGGGGAAGCGGTGGATTTCAGCCCATCTGGGGAGCAATAACGAACAAGCTCATCATTCGTCAGGTTGAGAATCAAAACTTTTGTTGTCCCTGTAGCTGTAACTTTCCAGACTGCACTGCGCCAGCCGAGCCTTTCTTCTGTCAAGCAGTTTGTCTCCAGAGGGGGATAAAACCCGGGGAGGTGGTTAGCGCAGCCCCAAGCCAGTGAATAAAGCTCATTTACGTGTAGCAGCCGGTGGGAGAGCTGACCTACGTCGGCTTGTAGCAATTGCATTTGCTGGTAGCCAGAAGGGGCCGATCCTTTGTGAACAAAGGCGACATTTGGATGGAGGAGCCAGCCCCCCTGCCCAAAGTCACGTTTGCACAAGGAAGTGAACCAAAACTGTGAAGGTTTTGCACCAGGCTGAGCTTGGGTTTGTGCCTTGTGGGTGGAGCGGGGCTGTAGCCACCCTGCTGATGCGTGTTTCTAGCCTTGTGCCATGGCCAAAATGACCCCAAAGGAGTCTAAAGGGTGGTTAGAGTTCGGAAAGCAGATGTAAAATTGCCACCTCATTACAGGAGCTATTGACTTCTTCAGGGACCAGTTTAATTTTGTGCTTTTTTGTTGTTTTGTAATTTATGTCCATGTATTCCTACTAAAAATAACAGATCTGCCCCGAGTCCAACCAACGGGAAACTGCTCGCAGCGGTCATTGTGCCTCTTCCACATGTGCTGTAATTACTTGCTTAACTGGCAGAAACAACATTTTTACCCTCAGAAGACATTTCAAGGCCAGGCGGATGCTGAACACTGAACCACAGGGCTGTGGACAGTGTGTTGCAAAAAAAAAAAAAAAAAAGAAAAAAAAAGAATCTCTGCTGAAGGCTGCAGGAAAACAGATTGCGTGAATCAAGTGGTAGCGCAGGGATGCAGCAATATGGGGGGAAAGAAAATAAGCAAATGCTATTGCTGTGCATTTCTGCTGAGCTGCCTTCTGTCTTTTTCTGAGTGGCAAGCAGGGGCGGGGGGAGTTTGGCTTGGTGACCCTGGGCTGCCGTGTGTCCTGCCCCAGCCCAGGGGGGCTGTGGCTGTCCAAGCCACAGTGAAGTGACAGCCCTCTGGAGGGCACGCTGCTTTTCAGGGATTCAGATAGTCACCGTCAAGGCTTGCTGCCAGACTGGCTCATGGGGCAAAGTGGGTGTAAGACCTCAGGGTGAGGATGCTCAGCCCCAGGAGGCAGCTGGACAGGCATCAAAACGGGGTCTGCGCAGTCATGTGTGTCTCAGGATGGTGAACATTGTGTGCATCCTTTGTGGGGGGCTCTGGCTCAGAGCAGGGCCCATCACTGCTCCTCCTATGCTATAGGTAATTGATAATGTAATACAGATGGTCAGCCTGGAGAACTGAACTGCTTGTAAAGGTGCTGTGTTGCTTAATTTTTCACCTTGATTTGCTTTTTGTTTTTATACAGCTGGACAACCCAGATGAGCAAGCAGCACAGATCAGGCGTGAGTTAGACGGGCGTCTTCAAATGGCAGAGCAAATTGCCAAGGTAAAAAAACCAAATCTTCTGTATTAGCAAGCTTTTCATGTAGAAACACATAAATAGTTTGATGCTGCCCCCAGGTCCTGTCCTTCCCTCACACATTTCTTCTCCCAATAGTCACCAGTTAAAAATGAGCAGATTTTTAACTACAAACAAAACAACAAGTACATATGAAACCATCGTAATGCACATTTCTTGGAATGTGCTGATGAGCTGGGACAGTTTAGGTTCCTGCAAAATGCCTCTTGAATCCTCAGAGGTGGAGAAGAAGTTGTCCTGAAGTGCTCTGGTCAGATCTGTAAGCACGCACCTGCGCCCTGTTTGCCAAGCTCACATGCTAGGCAATGAAGTGGGTGATGGCATGAAAAAAGGAGCCAAGAATTGCTCTCACAGGGTTTGTGTCATTCGCTGGGCTGCTGGGAGCCACAGTTCCCTGCCTGTGGATAGATGCTGCCCCAATAAAGGTACTTCAGGTGTGCTGTCCCAAGCACGTTCACACTTTGCATACCAGCAGTCAGGCTAGTGTTGTACAGTGTGGACATCACTGCCGTCTGGAGCAGCAGACACGGGACCTCAAAACAGTTTTCATAACTAAGCACTCGGCTAAACTCCCCAGAGACCCTTCTGTAAGGAGATGTCTCCCTGGGAGCAAATCATGCCCTCATACAGCACAGATTTACGTGGTTTCCATCTCCATAGATGGAGAAAAGCCCTGGATCCTGTTGACATCAGTATGGCCAAGATCTTATCCTTGCCTCTAATCAGATGCTTTGAGTCACAGATAAGGCCCTAACGGGGCTGAAGTCATCGTCAATGATCTATCTCGCTGTTCTTGAGAAGCAAGAAACCATTACTGGAAGGAAAAGAAAAAGGTCTAATCAGAGAGCCGTAGCTCAGGCTGGGGACCTGCCTTTCAGCAGCGGTGCTCTGGCCACTGAGCTGTGCCAAGTGCTGGGGTTTTATCGGAAAGGTAGTATCAGAGCTGTCTGCAACCACACCGAGATCCCTGGGCCTGAAAAGCAGAGTGCGTTCCTTTATGGTCAGGTGTTAGCAAGGATGCCGGTAGTGCCTGAGCAGTTACTCCTCGCTAATGCTTCTGTTAAACAGCTGCTGCTGTTGCATCTTGTGGAGGTAGGTTCTGGTTTTTCCTATTTCACTGATAAAAATAGTAAAGTGGCCAAGGACCACATGGCCAAACAATGGCACAGCAAAGCAGCAAACCGACTGCAGCTCCTTTGTTTAGCATTTGGCCCTTTGACATTTTATGGTCATGAAAACCTACAGTATTTTTTATTTGCAGCAAAATGTGAGCCCCTGCGCAGAGCGCTGCTGGTCCGGGTCTGAGATGGGTAGCCAGGCACTGGGTGCCAGAATGAGATACCTGGTTTCCTTGTTTCATTTTCTCTTTATGGCATGTGGGACAATGATAGTGGTTCAGTAGCAGCCAGCAGAGGCTGCAGCTTCATGAATTATTTTTTACAAACGAGAATTTGCTATTTCCATTCCTCCCCCAAGGATGCTGAATACAAACCATGCCACTGCCAGCCCTGCAGGAGACAGTCAGGGGAAAGTCCTCAACACAGCCTGACATTTTCCCATGCAGAATTCAACCTTCAAAATACAGCTGCACAGCTTGGGGGGTGGTTTAGGGTAAAAGTGACTTACCTTTGATCCAGTGGGCAGGTATTGGTATTTAATCTCCTTCACATTTACTGCTGCAGGCCTTCTCTCCAGAATGTCAGATCCCACCAGCCCCTGCCTCCGTGAACCTTGTTCTTTCAGACCCATGAATACCATCTTTTGGAGGCATCCAAATGACTTTTTGAAGCCTTTGCTGTGTCCTCCTTTCCAGGCAAGGCTACTTTCCCTCTTGCATAGGGCAGGTTCACAATTCAGCTCAATGAAAGGAAAGTATTTCCAATTTTATCTTCAGTTTGCAGCTTTTAATCCAGATTTGCTGCATAGGGAGATTTATTGCGCTCATGAAACCAGCACTGAGGTGGCTGTCTTGGAGATTCCATGCTAAAGGCAAATTAATGCCTTGTTAATAAATTAAGAAATTCAGGCTAGGACATTTGTACATCAGAGGCAGCGAAGGCTGTGGAGTCTAGCGGGACCTGGGATCGCAGTGTTGCAGAACTGGTAGCCCTGCAAGCCCTCGTGTGACTTTGAAGAAGTCACCGTGCACACCAGCTTTCCTTGGTGACCAGTTCTTGCACCTGGAAGCCAGGGCACAGCTCTGGGTGTTTTTACCTCCCGGTGTGTGCAGGAGAGTGCAGCTCAGCACAGCACCGGTGCAGCATTAGGCAGAGACCCCCTCTGAGCCCCACTCCATCAAAGCACATCATCCCAGCCTTGGAGCCAGCCGGCTTGAGGATCACGCTCAAAGTCAAGCAGATGTTTTAAAGCTGAGTCTGGACAGAGTTTTCTTTCAGTGTGTTGTACTTTTCCGGCAGTTCAATGAGAGCAGCATTACAGGTGAGAACTCAGTGGTGCCAAGGCAGAGGTGTATTTCTCTCTGCAGCAGCAAGTTCTCTGCTGTCCTGTAGTACCTTTCCCCCCACCCAGTCATCTGGCCTCAAGGGCAAGGAGGAGCACGCATAAGGGGAACTAAATGTGATGACACCAGAGCAATATGTCCCTCTGGGGCTGGACCCACTCTGCTTCAGCCTGCTGGACTGGTCATCCCTTGCAGTCTCTTAACCCATTTCTGGTCCAGTCCCAGTTAAATTGTGATGCATCACTTCAAACCACCTGGTTTTAGCCTTAGTATGAGAAATTGCTGGTGGCACAGAGTGAAATGTCTCAGTCCTTGCTGCATTTCTGAAAAGGTTTGTGGGGGCAGTGCCAAAATTGCAGTCCCTGGAGAGATGGATAGCAGCAGGGTGAAAAAGCAATAATGTTTGCATGTCGTTGCTTCAGCAGTAGTTCTCAAAATCTACAAAACACTTGTTTGTTTTCTTTCCTAGAGGTGGTTTGCAACTTGTATAATGCATAGACAATAAACCGGACTGATTAGGTAGTTTATCTTACACCAGGTCTAATTTACACAAGGGAATTACTTCTTAAAATTGAGACTGGAAACAGAAGACTATTTTAACTGCTTGGTGCGAGTGCTGCTGTGAGCTTGTAATGGATGAGCTGTTGAGGACTGATGCAAAAACTAGTGCAGTGGAGTACTTTTTCAGCAGCCTGATGACAGTCTTCTAGAAGAAACGTGTCCTTGTTTTCTTTCCTAGCGTACAGTTTACAAACTGCTTTTTACAATATTATGAATTGCCTGTAAGATACTTTGCACATCAGCCTCAAGTCCCCTGGCTGCAGATGCTGCCTCGCTGTCGTACGCCTTGCACAGCCTCTCGTAACCCACGGAGAGACGTTCCAACCCTGAGCAGATCTGGGACATGGGCAGAGTTGTCAGAAGACGTAGAGCAGTGATCCCGACAGAGCTGGAGCATGGGCAGCAGCTCAAAGCTGAGAACGCACGCTGGGGAGCATCACGTTTTGATCTCACTGTCACCATTGGTTTTAATGGTTCAATGCCCTGTTTACAACAAGCAGCACGGGAGGGTCTCACAGTGAAAGGGTGTCTTGTTGGAAGGAGACACGGGCCCTGGCAAGTAGTGGAAAGAGGGTTTTACCATTTCTTCCAATTGGCCATAAATTCCTGCCCACACAGTGCTGATTTTCCCTCCTTGGGCTCCTTTCACACCTAGAAAACTAATGGACCAGCTGCTCAGAGGTGTTTAAAAAAGAGCTAGCAGGTTTGGGAGACTGGAAAACAAGTCCCTAACTGCCAGCATCCTTTGAATCATTAGTAAATTGCTGTCAATCACAAGTTCAGCTGAGATCTGGCCTGGAGGGTTTGTAATTGTGAATGCTTATATATGAAGAAGGCCACTTGCAGATAGAAAAATGGATGAACTGCAAGCGCATGCAAGAAACAGTAAAGTTGGGTAAGTACCAAGTAGTAATTCAATGGGAAGCTAACAATAATGTTTCCACATTATACAGGGGGAAGCTGTAATTTGTCATCTGGTTTGTGGGAGTTCCCTGCTTGCAAACCTCTCTGCTGATGCTCCTGGGGGATTCTCCCAGTGCAACAAGTGGTTGCTGATTGTCACTGCAATTCATTCTCTTGTTTTTGTTTCCAAATCCAAGGAGCGCAAATTTCCCAAGTTTGTGTCCAAAGAAATGGAAAACATGTACATTGAGGAGCTGAAGTCGTCTGTCAATCTCCTGATGGCAAACTTAGAGAGCATGCCTGTGTCTAAAGGAGGCTCCGAGTTCAAGCTGCAGAAGCTGAAACGCAGTCACAACACCTCAATTATTGACATGGGAGAAGAAAACGAGAACCAGCTTTCCAAGTCAGACGTCGTGTTGTCGTTCTCCCTGGAGGTAAGCTTCACACACACGACACTGTGCAGAGTTTGTGGGAATAAAAATCACAGCAGCTGACTTCTGCTTGGTTCAAACTTAAGCTAGGCGGAGAGAGTTCAGTAGAAATCTCCTTTCTGATCTCCATGAGGAATGGCTCCTCTCTGAGTTACCAGAAGCTTTGCCTGTGGTCAAACACTGTGTCCTTTCTGGTGTCTCACCATCTTGTTAGAAAAAACTGTGTGAGATAAACCATCTGGCATTGCCTCCTGACGTACATCAAATGGCTCAGAAATCTGCGTCATTAACTGACCTCTTCATGCAGCTTGTGACTGAGTGTACCCCAGTAACCCTGAGCCTCTATTGTTCCCAAAACCAGTACAATCATGCAACACCACAAATGTCAGGGTGTTTAATTATTGCCACTTGGGGTTGTCACTGTATTTCCCTGCAAGCCTTGCTTCCTTTTTGGAGAACCATTAAAAATTGCTGGGATTTGCAGTTTGTGTGGAAATACCATGCTTTGCTGGCTTGCTCTTTGCTTTGTGTTGAGCACTGACTTTCTGCTCGGTGCCTGTGGAGCAGTTTGTCTGTACAGCCCCGGGGAAGGCAGGCTGCTGCAGGGACCCGCTGTTACCTCCGACACAGGCTGTCTCGGTCCTGGAAGCAGTGACGCTGCAGTAGCTGTTTTCAGCCAACTTAATTGTTCTGTGCAAACATATTTGCAGTGTAGGCAAGACATGTACTCCAAGGAGTCATCCGCACACCCATACAGAATTGTTGTTTTCTGTCAGTGAGTGGATTTATGTTACATTGTCAGAACAGCTACCAGGATGGGGTCAAATATATCAGATGCAGAAAATTTTTTGTGTGGTTTCTTGTTTATTTCTCTTCCTAAGGGGTCTCTTGTTGTATATAACATACCAATGCAAAACTTAATGATGCTGGTTGTCCAGTCTCAGAGTTTAACTCGTTAGATGTCTGAAACCATCTTTATAATACTCAGTTCGGTCTTATTTAAAAATAGGGCTATGAACCCAGAAACGGTGCCTTCAACAGCAGCATCAAATAGAGCCTGACTTCCAAATGTTCCCGTACAAAGGAGCAGGGAACTATCACAAAGCAGTAGACCTCTCAGTTGGAAAAGCCTGTGCAGCGTGTATAGCCATACATAAAGGGACTTGCCGTGACAATGGGATGTCTCAAACGCTTTTCTCCAGCTGAACCCCATCCAGGGGGAAGCAGAAGCTCAGTGAAGCGCTGACTTCAGGAGCTGGCAGGTCTGTGCACTGCTCTGTGCACAAAACTCTTGCTGCAACAGAGCTTTTACCGAAAATGTGTGCTTGTCAGAGGGTCTGTGGAGCTCTGCGAGCCAGGGAAGAGATCCTCAGTGTAAGGACAGATCAGAGGACCTGAGGAGAGGAATTTAAAACCCCTGTGTATATACTTCATAGATAGCTGTAATAAAACACAAATAGAAACTCCCACAGTGTTTCTTGTAGAATGTTTAAGATATGTGGTTAACAGAATTAATCACCTTGAAAAAAACCATAAAGAGTAATTACCTGCAAGAAACTTAGATGATGATTTCTTGATAAGATTTCTTATAAGAAAGATGGAGAAAGGTTTTTTTTAAACCATAAAGAGTAATTACCTGCAAGAAATTTAGATGGTGATTTCTTGATAAGAAAGATTTCTTATAGGAAAGATGGAGAAAGTTTTTTTTTTTTTACCAGGCCCTGTGGTGACAGGACAAGGGGCAATGGTTTTAAACTGAAAGAGGGTAGATTTAGATTGGATATAAGGAAGAAAATGTTTACTATGAGCATGGTGAGACACTGGCCCAGGTTTCCCAGAGAAGCTGTGGATGCCCCATCCCTGGAGGTGTTCAAGGCCAGGTTGGAAGAGGCTCTGAGCAACCTGGGCTGGTGGGAGGTGTGCCAGCCACGGGGGTTTGTCCTAGATGATCTTCAAAGGTCAGACCAAAATCATGATTAATCTTCAAAAGAGGCTTTTGGCACAAGCTGTGTGCTTTTTTTCTGGATTTCACTTATTAAGGCACTTTTAGGTGGGGCAGGACCATGTCTGTGAGGCCCATCTACTGAAGTGTGGTACAGCCCTGGGCAACCAAGGGCTTCAGCCATCCCCTGTGTAGTCAGAGGGAGACCTGGTCTTCATACAGACCTTGCTGGCTGCTGTTGTCCCTTCCTGCATGCACAGTGCCACTGTCCCTGCCACCTGCCACCATGAACATCCATCAGCACGTGTAGGACCCCAGCACTGGCTGACCCCACGGGTTCAACAGCCAGAGCAAGGTCTGAAGGAGGCTCTTACGCTCCTCTTTCTTTGCCCAACAGGTTGTCATCATGGAGGTGCAGGGGCTGAAGTCACTGGCCCCCAACCGTATTGTGTACTGCACCATGGAAGTTGAAGGTGGGGAGAAACTGCAGACTGACCAGGCTGAAGCCTCAAAGCCAACGTAAGTCTTGCTTTGCCTTTTGCTCTCTCCACCATGCTCTCTTCCACCCCATCTCTGCGTTGCTGAGCCTCTGCAGATGGCTCTGGCTCCTGCACGAGGGGGCCAGAGGGGACTCTGAGAAGAAAAAGAGAGAAGTGACCTTCCATGTATGCAGAGCATCGTCCCGCGACTAAGAATGCCTCATAAGCCCTGATTGAGGAAAAAAGCATTAATGACAGGCTTATGTCTCTTGTAGCCATAGGGACATAATTTTGTGCCTATACGTAAGTACTTTGCTAAATAAGGATGGAGTTAAGCATGTGCTTAGGTAAATACTCGTCTGAGTGTCCATCTGAACTGGTGCCATCAGGTGTAGGTACATAAGCTCATCCTCACTGTCAGGGTTTCAGCGAGACAGGAAAACAGCTGGCAGGGACATGGTCTGCAGCCACAGCCAGAGGTGGGAGCGAAGAGCAGGGTGTAGGTACATAAGCTCATCCTCACTGTCAGGGTTTCAGCGAGACAGGAAAACAGCTGGCAGGGACGTGGTCTGGCAGCCACAGCCAGAGGTGGGAGAGAAGAGCAGGGAAAAGCTTCAAGTCACTTGGTTAAAGCTTTATCTGAGGCCCCACTGCCCTGGTCCAGCTCAAGGGCAGAGTCTTGTTCTGTCCCTTCTGACTGGTCTCCAAATCCCCAGCCTTGGCCCCATACTTGGTTTTTCTGTCTTCCCCAGACATTGTTTTAAGCCTGCTAGTAGTGATTGATTTTGTTACTTTGGAAGGAGAAAATGATGAATGGCTTATTTCCTTTCCGATTTGTGGGATTACTTACCTTAAAACACTATCCATATAGATTTGAGGCAGTTTTCCGCTGGTTCACTGCAGGGATTTCACACTTAAGTGAAATTCTCAGTGAGCATCCTTGCAGCGGAGAATTGCCAAGGTGATACGAAGCCTCATCCAGTAGTGGGGGGCAGTGCAGGAGGGGCTGCTGTTGGGATGCTCCCTCTCTGTTCCCATATCCCATTCCCTCTGGGTGACCCAGTGGCATTTCACCAGGAGCTTCCCAAGCCTGTGGAAGGAAAGCCAAAAACACCCGCCGGCGTTACCTGTGAATACACCAACACTGCAGGCAACCCGGTCAAGCCCAGCCGATGCAGGCAGGAGTCGAGCAGAGCCAAAGGCAGGCTGCCTTCCTGCAGAGGCACAGAAACTGCTGATGCCGTGTGCCCTGCGCTGTACTGGAAGAGTAGGAATCTGCAGTAAGTGATTTTAAAACAATATTCCCAATCAGGGAAAGTGCTGCAGCCTGGCTTACTTTTCAAAACACTTTGAAATCTGCTTCAGAGAAGGAAGAGCTGTGCTTGGAAGAAAATTTCCATAGGAACCTGCAGTTGTTGCTATTTTAGGTATTTTTATTGCTTCATTGGAGAAGCTGGGCCCTATTTAGGAGAAATTACTACTACCCATAGTGAAAAGCACCCTTCTGCAGCGTTACGTGTGTTTGTTAACTTGGTCTATTCATCCCACTCGTGCTCAAAAGGTTCTGTCCTTCCTTACGCAAGCCTTCTTGCTGTCAGCCACAGGACCGTTTTACAAGTGTTGTTTTGAAAGGAAGGGCTGCAAGAGTGAGCTCTTTAATCAAGTGGGTCTTTTTATCATAATGAAATGTACGGTGTCTGGGCATGAAGCCACGAGCCCTCGGGAAAATGCAGCCAACGCTGAATGCTGTGCCGTGGTACAAGTTATGCAAGTCCATCCCACTCATCCTCTCTCTGCACTGGCTTCCCATAGAGGTGCACGTCAGGCTTGAAGTCTTCTGCGTTGCTCCATCACTTGGGCTAATATCTGTGGAAGAACCTTAGGACGGGAATAGGCTTGATAGTTGCATTCCTTGAGGGTCCTTGGACTTTTTACTTCTAAGATCAAAGACCACCCGAATTCTAGAATAACCTTCCACAGAATCCAGAGACCATCACAGAAAGCTTTTCCTTTTTTCCTCTTTGCATTTGAAGTGCTTCTTTCACCTTGCTTCCCCTCCCAGACACAACAGCTCAGGCAGGCAAAACCAAAGCCCTGTGAAAGCAATTTACTGCGCTTATATTTTCCTCTTCGGAAGTGAAGGAAAGAGAGAATGAGTCAGATGTGATATGTTTGTCATGGTGCTTAATACAAGACAGGTACTCCAGTGATGAGGGCAGTGATAGAAACAGATCAGAGGAGTCTTTAGTATGTTTTTGAGCTATGCTGCCTTGCAGGCAAAAGATCTGTGGTCAGCCAAAACAGCCTTCTGGAGTGTCTCTTTAGATGCCGACGTCACTCTCACTGAGGTCATTCACACCGTGTTTGCTTGTGTACTTCTCATCATAAGCTAAATACTCATTGATAAGGGAACTAGATCAGCAGCAGCATGCTGGGCTGCTCACCGGGGGAGCTCGCTTGCATCCCAGGTTTTGTGTGCTTTGGCAGGGGATTATGCCCGGCCTGGAGTGAGGAGTGCGCTGCAGGAATTCTGAGCCTCAGCACTGTCAAAGTGTGTAAATACTGAAGCAAGTTATCCCTGTACATCCCCAAATTTTTGGTATCTCAGAGGCTCCAAAAATAAAAATGCAGGTTGAGTGCCTGTACTCAGAAGATGCAGTGAATACAGTTCTGGAAACAGGCAGTATTTCCTCAGGTTAAACTCTAACTCTTCAAACTGCCTGAAATTCAGTTTCACCATCATCTGGAGGCTCTCCAGGCTACCAAAGACTGTATTTCTCTTACACATCAGGGGAAAATAAATGACATTTGAACAGTAAGATTCACTGGAAGACTGCCCTTTTTTACAACAGCCCTGTGTCCTGGGGAGGCGGAAAGGAGACTGTCCCAGGGCCCCACGACCTTGTAGGACATCTTTTTACCTAAGAATGACTCATGGAGTTGTTCACTGTATATTCTCACGCATCCTTGAAGTGCCAGCTCTCAGCTAAAACGCCCAGCACACTGGTGGCACGGCTTCGCGTCCCCGCCCCCTGCCAGGGGTGCTAACCTGGGCTCCACACCCCTCATAGAAAAAAGTGATCTCCCAGCCAGGGGAGGGTGTCCAAAAGCACTGGTATAGGTCTGTGAGAGACTCACCTTTTGTTTTCCCTGGTACAAAACCAGCAGTTTTTGTGAATAAAATGTTTGAAAGCATCTTAGTGACTTTGGAGCTGGAATCCTGTTTGTAGATCTCGAAGGAGGCAGGGCAGCAGCAGGGTTAGCAGCCACGGGTACCAAGCGATCTGATGAGCCGTGGACAAGGACCGTGGCTCTCGGGACAGCAGTAAATACTGGATTTCTTTTTCTTCTCAGGCTCCGTGTTGGATTCCTGACATTTTAAGCCCAGTCCCTTCATGTGAGGATTATCTGCCTCAGTGCGGGTACAGGGGATGGCACAGCTTTAGAGAAAGCCAGACCTGAAATAGCAAGGGTTATTTCAGATCAGAAGTGCAGCGTATTGTTAGTAGTGCTTTTAACAAGTTGTGTAAGAAAAAGCCTTTGTATTACACCCTAACTCACAGATGCCTCCACAAAATATCCCAAATCCCAGCGCGAGCAGGATTTTACTACTTTTCAAGCTGGAATTGTGTTCTTGCAGATCTCTGAGGGTTTTATACCCCTCCTCTTCCCCCCACATTGCCCTGATGTTTGCCCTCTGCGCAACACGGAGGGCGAGGTGGCTCTGCACATCTCCGATGATGCCCTGCCAGGAGCTGTGTTAGTGATGCTGCTGTTTGCAGGTCCTGAGAGCAAGGCTGCTGAGGGGTCTGGGAATAGCACAAAAGGTGCTACCGCAACACCCCTGTCCTACTGTCTCTAAAGAGGCTGCTGGATATATTTAAACAGTGACCTGTGCTTGTAGCAGTGCTCATGGGCTGTACCAGTGATTCATCTTCTTATCATATTGCCTTCCTCTGACGTGAGCAGAAAAAAAGAAAAGAAAGAGGCCCAAACAACAGCAAGGTCCTGTGTGCCTTGTGACTAAATGCTCTATATTCACCTGGACGTATTTTGGCATGCAGATAAGTCTCATTCTTCCCTGGCTCACAGTAGTGAAAGTCAGGTGTACTTGCACTGAGCTCAGCTGAACCGTGTGGGTTAAAAGCAGTAAATAACTGGTGGGGCAGAGTCTGGCCAACCTGTCTGGGCATTTTGGCACACCCAAGAAGAGACAGAGGTGTCTTCATCTTGGGTTTATATGTCCACCCTTGCAGAGCAGCCTCTTCGGTCCTAGTGCAGGAGTCCTGTAGTAACTCAGAGTATGAGAGGTATGGATGGAGCTTATTATTTTTGAAGGAGAAAAAATCAGTCTTTATTGCCTGGGTTTTTCCCATACAGTTTTCTTGAGCATGTGCTGTAGGGCAGTGCTGGGGAGAGGGCACTCAAGGGGTCTCATCTGACTCCATGTCACTTCTTACATTGTTTGTCATGACCAAGAGCTTGGGCCTCATCCCCTCTCCAGAAAGTCACTCTTGATGAAGTAATCTCTTTGGTAAACTTTAAACCTCTTCATCTCTGTTCCTGTAGCCACTATGCAAGGAGACAGGGGTGCCCTGTTTTGTCGCTGTGCTTGCTCGTGATGCTGCTCCCTGATTGCATCCTTTCTCAGCACCGTTTGGTGACCATCTCCTTCTGGGAGGTGGGCAACGAACAGCAAAGGGAGAAGCCCTGTGGGAAGGGAGGCTGGCAAGCTGGGGTGCCCTCTCTCTCTTCACAGAAGAGGAAAATCTGGTCTTTTTGTTCAGGAATCTTCTGCCTCAGGCCCTGGAGTTTGAAGGGATGCTTGGTGGCTTTGCACAGAGTAGCAGCGTGATAAGACCGTTTTGTTGCAGTCAACGTTTTGCTGCCCTGGTTAGATGGGAGATGCTGTGAACACTTTCCCTGTGATAAAATGAGAAAGGTCCTTTTGAGATGAGCTTGCTTGTAGAAATTACAAATAAATACTCCATACTCTGTAGAACAAATTTAATTCCACCGAACTAAAAGGGTTTATTCCAA